TTTTTTCCTTTTTTTTTTTTTTTTTTTTTTTTTTTTTTTTTTCGTTATTCATTCAGTCGAAGTGTAAGTGAGGGCGCTAGCTCGTTTAATATATTAATTATCTGAGGCAGTTTACGTCATTTTGTTTAAGGCCGAGTTAACAGTAGTGAACTATGCGTTTCCAGAAGGTGTACACGCACGCGTTTTTTTTCAGCCGCGCGCCACGTCGTGCACACGCCATTCCTCGTGGCTGATTCACGTGTCGGTGAACGGGGCAACCTGGAGGAGGAATACCGCCGCGCTCTGCGTGCCCCCCCCCCCCATCCCTCCTCCCACCTCGGTTTGGTTGTCCCACCGATTGTCTCGCGAAAATCCACGGGGGCAATTTAGTTTAATTTCGAACGACTGGCGAACAACACTCTTTTTCTCGCCGAGGCAGGAGGGAACAGGAGGCCCAGCCGCCCTTCCCCTCCCCTCCCCTCCCGGAGAGGGGGTCCCTCCTCGCCGTCAAAAGTGGCATACTTTATTCACTCTTATCTTCAACGGGTCTGTTTTTCTCGTTTCCTCCTCCCTTGTTGCCCGTCGAACGTGAATCGAGCTTTTATCCGGCGCGCGTCTCCACACACGCACAAAAGTACGCTGGTACATAGGCGGAGGGCGAGGCACGTTCGAATTCTCTATCTTTCGTTCTCTCTCTCTCTCTCTCTCTCTCTCTCTTCACTCTCTCTCATTCTTTCTCTTTCTCTCCGTCAAACACGACGCGATGCACACGTATTATTTATCCCGAAGAATAAAGACTTGACTTGTATTATTTTAACGTATAGCTACGTTACGCGCGACGTAGGACAAAATATTTGATGCCAGACTTTTCTTCTTTTCTCTCTTTCTCTCGCTACCCGCTTACGAAGGAAGCACGTTTTATTACAGAGTAAATATTGTATGCCTTGCTCTCGCCGGTTGCACAAAACCGCGATAACAACGAGCCAAGAAAGAACGCTCGCCTTGTCTTTTCTTTTTTCGCGAATCGATCGGAAGGAAGGAAGGAAGGAAGGAAGAAAAGGAAGAAACGAGAGAGAGAGAGAGAGAGAGAGAAAAAGATAGAAAGAAAGAGAAGAAAAAAGAAGAGAAAACGAGGAGGAAAATATGGGAAAGGAATACGGAACGGAGAAAATAATCGCTTCGGATGCATTCACTGAATGCAACGTTAAATAAAAAGATCACCGGGAACGACCGCACATGCCGTGTATTACTTCCTTCGCGGTACACACGTGTCGCGTCGTATCGAGTCGTGTGGGTCTCCTCTATGCATGTATATGTGTGTGTGTGTGTGTGTGTGTGCTCTGGTTGCCTCGACGAGTGTAGGTAGTACATGTATACGTACGTATGTTGTTCCTTCTCTTCGCAACGTTCAACCAGCGAACGCACAATGTTCGTTGAAAATATATCTTCGATCGGGAACGTTTCTAATCTAATTGATCGCGACTCGCTCGCGAACAGGCAGAGCAAAATTTCAACGAAACGGAATCGAAGAGGGATCCTGCCACCGCAGAACCCGCGAGAAGAGAAGAATCGAGGAATCAAATGCAAGAGAAACGCGGCGTACGTGTTTTTAACCTCTTAGCTACGGCGAGATTTTGTACCGAAAAGTGAGATAACGAAAATTTTTATCCGACACCGCGTAATTAGAAACTGAAGTTGTTCGAATTGAAAGAACGAGTGAAATATAATATTAATATAATTACATTATATATTAACACATTGCGTACCGCACTCGGCGCTCGCAGGACCCGCACATTTTTGAAGCAACAAGGAAACTTCGCACAATGCATAGATGCACTTCTTTTAACCACTTGCGCTGGCAATTGATTGCGGACCATAACGAGTGACCAAACCGTATACAATAATTCGTCGCTTTCTCTTACTTTTGAACTCGTCGATACGATATCGCTGGATAGAAATTACTGAGAAGCAATAAATTTATTATCTGTTTTGCTTATTTTGTCTTACTTAAATATACTTAAAAAACTGAGAAAATATTACAATTTTGGAACAAACAGTTCTCGACGTGCGTGGCACGTCATTCCAGCGCAAGAGGTTAACCACTTGCGGACCGTAACGAGTGACCAAACCGTATACAATAATTCGTCGCTTTCTTTTTGAACTCGTCGGTACGATATCACTGAATAGAAATTATTGAGAAGCAATTAATTTTATTTTGTCTTACTTAAATATACTTAAACAAACTGAGAAAATATTACAATTTTGGAACAAAAAGTTCCCGACGTGCGTGGCACGTCATTCCAGCGCAAGAGGTTAATCACTTGCGCTGGCAACCGATTGCGGACCGTAACGAGTGACCAAACTGTATACAATAATTTGTCGCTTTCTTTTTCTTTTTGAACTCGTCGGTACGATATCACTGAATAGAAATTATTGAGAAGCAATTTTTTTATTATTTGTTTTGCTTATTTTGTCTTACTTAAATATACTTAAAAAAACTGAGAAAATATTACAATTTTGGAACAAAAAGTTCTCAACGTGCGTGGCACGTCATTCCAGCGCAAGAGGTTAACCACTTGCGGACCGTAACGAGTGACCAAACCGTGTACAATAATTCGTCGCTTTCTTTCTAAACTCGTTGGTACGATATCACTGGATAGAAATTATTGAGAAGCAATAAACTCATTATTCGTTTTGCCTATTTTGTCTTACTTAAATATACTTAAAAAACTGAGGAAATATTACAATTTTGAAAGAAAAAGTTCTCGACGTGCGTGACACGTCATTTTGACGCGCGAGATTAATTCACATTGATAAAATATTCTTAAATATTACTATATGCTTTCTATAGTAATATTTAAGAATCTATTTACTATATATTTTAGATTTCAACTATTAATTATTTTATATTTGTATCGATACTTTTCCATATAAAATGTTCGAAAGCATTGCAAGAGTATAATTAAGATTATACTTTACAATTTATTTACAACTTACTAGAAATTATATTTTACAAATTTTACAGAACTTTTATTCGAACCTAGGCAAGACTTTTCGCTCGGTAACTTGAAAAAGTCAAAATGCAGCGGTCCTTTTTGTCAACGCGTTTGCATATCCTTTCCTTTATTTGTACTTTGATCCCTGATTCAAAGTACCTTAGGACGACTCGTATGTAGGACGAATTCCAACCGATTGTGAGAAAACAAGCGAGAGCCACTATATATAGTGGCGTACCGTTGAAAAAGATGACATGTGCGAGAGGCCACTATAGTGGCGTGCCGGTTCGAAAAGGCGATACACGCGAAAGCCATTATTACTGGCTAAGAGGTTAAAAAACAAGCCCCGGTGGCAACTGCACGGAGAAGAGGAGAGCGCCTGCCTGTATCGAGTTATCTTCCCTAGAAAATGCGCGCAGCCAGGAGAGTCGTTGAACGTTCCCCTTACGTAACACGCTCCGTAGGTTTTTTTCCCCCCGAGATAGCGGTGACAATGATACTCGCCCGACGACGATAAACGCGTGGTTTATACGCGAGATATGTGTAAATGCAAGAAGTAATACTGACACGTATAGGAAGAAGGTCTGTCCAAACGTTTTTTCGTCGATACGTTGGGCAAAAAAGAAAAAAAAAAAAAAAAAGAACGCCACAGGAGTAGTAATTGAACGGGGAGAGAAACGCGGACGAATGATGGAATACACGTCACGAGGAACGTGTTTGGCACACGGAAACGTTTCGCTGTAGCGTTGGTAACAGCGTTCAAAGAGCTCGCTCATTTTCATGAAATTGTCAGCGGGCGAGACACTTTTAAGCGTCGATCCCTCCCGATATGCACGAGCTGAAGAAGTTTAAGGCGCAGAGGCTCGATCGTATCAGCACTCGGGCACTCTGCTTGACATTCGACCGCGCGCCCCGGCGTCTCTTCGACGCTACAGTGCCTCCGATTAACGGAGTTTTTCGGTCGTTCTGTCGTTCGCTTGCCCCCTCCTCCCTCCCTCCCCCCCTTTCCCTCTTTCGATCGTTCGTTCTCTCTTTCGACACACCGCGCGACCGACGACAATCGAATTCTACGAGCGTACCCTTTGCATAGTAAGCGAGATTCGGCGATACACGACGAAGGGAACGTAGTAGACGATCGGAGACGAGAGAAAGTCGCGCGCACGCACTCTGTACATACGTAGAGAGATTACTGTAAAAGCTGAACTCGGAAAAGAGCCACTCTGTTATTTTCGAAGTCTTTTCGACGACACCGTCCGAGAGAATGATTCTGAATGCGTGCCTGATTGATCGTCGAAAACAAACTGCAGTTGGAATTTCAACTGCTGAAGAGGGGGTGGGGACAGGGGTTTGTAGATTGGGAAATTGTTCGCGATGAAACAGAGAGAGGAGAGAGAAGCTGCTCTCTCGTCGACGACGATAACGTCGCGCACAGTCCAAGTAACTCTATTTAGGCCCTGTATCCGTTTAGCCTTCCCTCTACTTTGCCGCTAAGAGGTTCGTTCCCTTTGAACGAGCAAAAACACCGGGGCGGAAATGCCCCGGCCGAGATGGACGGGCGAAGGGTAAGTGGTGCCAGGAACGAACTGTGCTCTCTCTCTCTCTCTCTTTCTCTCTCTCGACCAACCGGTCTCCTCTGCCAACAAATTTTACCAGGAACGAAGATGAGAGCACACACGACCGACCGAGGAGCTGAAAATTTCCACGTGTGCCGCCTTCGTGTTTCGATTTGGAACGCGAGGTGTACGACGAGGGGATTCGGGACTGATGATGTTAGAAGTCGATTTAGCAACGAACGAACGTTGCGAAAACGTGCGAAAACGCTGAGGAAATTGTGAAATTTAAAAATAACGCGTCGACGGACTTTTTTTTACTCTGTCCGCCGGTAGAAAGAAACGAAAGAGAGAGAGAGAGAGAGAGAAAGAGAGGATAGGCTAGGAAACCGACAAACGAACCGGTGAAACCTTTTCAAAGTCACCGGCCAACATTTCTGCTTGCGACGCTTCCTAATTACCCGATGTCGACGTCACATTATATAACGAGTTCGACGGGGGTTTCAACGAGGTACAATAATGCTCTCCTTCCTTCCACGTCGTATAAATATCTATCAGTGGATGAAGTTTAACCCTCTGACGAGTGAACGGACCGTTCTACGTTACTTGGAAACGTATTTTCCACTATCGGCTTGATCACCGAAGAGCAAAGAAGCTAATTCCCGCGCAAGCGTTTAAAAACTACTTTTTCTTTCATATTCCCTCCTCCTTCGCACGAAATCAATCGCGGATCTCACGTCTTCGAAGAGACGTCTCGCAAGAGCGCGCATTTTCTACAAAAATAAACGCGTCAACGTCGCGCTGTCCGAGGAACGGAGGAGAGGCTGACGAATTCCACAGAAACGCGTCGTGGAAAACAGGTCGTTAATGCCAGCCGCGCGCCTGCAACAACGTTCGAGGGACGAGCTTTGAACAGAAATTTGGGAAACAGAAATTTGTCGGAACCGTCGAACCCCTCTGTCGAGCCTATTGGGCCTACCCATTGGCGAACGAAACGAAAAAGAGTGACCGCCTTCCGTGACTTTCACATTTCTTTCCCGCCCTTCTTTCTTTTCTTCGTTTATTTTGGCGTGTTCGGAAAGCAGACGCCACAGTTCCCCGAAGCTGTCTCTCTCTCTCTCTCTCTCTCGTTTTTCCACGGGCGGTTCGCGAGGCGCGACGGGTGGAAATTATAGGAGCTCGGGCGGTGTGCGGTGCAGGTTCGCATTAGCGACTGTTAGTCTAACGTTCATCATCCCGTGCACATGGGTCGTCAGTGTTTTCGGAATACGAGTCGACGTATCCTGCTCCCTCCGGTGCGTGCGGGCCGTCGTCTCTCGGTTTCGTCTCTGCCGATCCCCATCTTGACCGCGCCCCCTTCTCGTCTGGTCTGGTCACGTCCCTCGCTCCCTTCTCGACCCGTAACCGCCCAGATCCGTTCCGTTCCGTTCCGTTCCGTTCCGTTCCATCCCGTCCCGTCCCATCCTGTTCCAACCCGCCGTCTCGTTTCGCCTCGCCTCGCCTCGCTTCGTCTCGCTTCGCCACGGCTCGCCCGTACCGCCGGTGCGGTCGTGCGGTCACGTTGATCGATCGTTACCGTGTAACGAAATACGGTCCCCGTCCGTTTCTCCTTGAGCGCGCTCTTTGAAAAGGGCGCAGGATAAAAAAGAAGAAATCCTGCTCCGACCTCTCTCTCTCTCTCTCTCTCTCGTTCTCTCTCTTTTTCTCGGACCTCGAGTTTCCAGAGATGCTCCCCGACAGAGACGGAGAGAAACAAAGAGAGGCCCGCGGAGCGAACGAACGAACGAACGACAAAAGGGGCTAGAAGAGGACGGGTGGAAAGCCGCGGTGGTGAAAGGGCGCGCGCGAGAGAGGAACGTTCCGTCAGAGCTGGACAAACTTGTACGATCGCAACGATCACCGCCGCTCCGACGATTTCCTGCGACGTTTGGCCATCGCGGGACGAGAGAAGCAGATACAAGAGAAACTACTACTATGTACATGTGTGTATGTATGTATTCGATTTGGCAATGTCGCGCTTGCCACTCTGTCGGACAACGTTCGACAAGCTTGCGTTCGGACTTTGGCACTTGCGAGTGTGATGATTGTCGATCCGGCCTGGCTGTACACGTATACGTGTACGTACAAACGAAGAAGACGGATGAATCAAAGCTTCGATCCAGGATGAGAAAGTATTCCAACTATGATTCTTATAGAGTCCTAAAGAAAGTACTATTACGTATGTATTCGCGGCTGACGATCTTGAAGAAGGGAAAAAGGACGAGACTGCCGTCGCCACCACGGCGGTTGTATATAACGAAAGACAACCGCGTGGTACACGAATGTTTGGCCGGCGAAGAAAGGCATCCAAGTTTCAGGAATTTACGCGGAGGAAACTCTCTCGGCTGTCTCTCTACGGCTGAAAGTGTGTGCCGGTTAAAAATAAGTCGTTAATACAGAGAGCCTAAGCAAATTGATCTTTATACCTGAACGCAGTGCAGGTATCGCAGGTGGATGAAATCGGTCGATGCGTATATACATACACGGATGCGACCATTTCAGTTGCCTCGTATAGTTAGTTCCCTTCGTCTGTCCCTGGCTCGAATGTATATCTCTCCTCTCTCTCTCTCTCTCTATGTGTGATGATGATAGTAGTGATGGTGATGGTGGTGGTGTGTATACGTCTTGTGTTTATTCTGTGGCTTTCTGCTCGCTCGTCCGTCCGTCCGTCCGTCCGTCCGGCCACCCGCACACTGCTGCCAACACAACGGCGAGCACGGCACGTACGATCGTTGCGTCGACGACGATACATGCATATATGTACGTACATATATACATACACACGAAACGTACGTATGCACATAGATGCACGTATGTACGATGGAATATACACGTAGGATAGAAGTAGCGTGTACGTCGCAGAGATAGATGTATCCCGAGTGTACCAGGCAGAGTTTAGACCAACCCGTATGCTCTTTAACGAGTATGGAAGATAAGTCGTACAATAGGGAAGAGAGAGCACACAGCTTTGCAGCCGGATTAGGTGAATAAATGAACGGTAGCGGCGGCAATGGGGTCGGTCGCGCTGTTGCTGTTACTGCTTCTGTTACCGATGCCGGTAGACACCTAACTCTGCGGTAAAAGCGCATGATAACCGGGCGTTTCGTAGAAACCAGCCGCCTGAAGGGCGTGCAGCGAGGTCGCATGATGCCTGTGTATCGTGCTCGCGTACACGCTGGAAACGCCGCTGGAAGCACCGATCGACGTCAAGGAGGAAGAAGAGGACGAGGAAGATGAGGAAGAAGCTTGCTGACCAACGTGCGACGAGGCTGCACGTGATAGTAACGTCGCCGACGGCCGCCTGTACGGATGATGTCCGACCGCCGAGGCTGTCGTTGCTCGCAGATGAGTCGACGAGTTCGAACTGTTGGTCGCGTTATATGTCTGTTGATAGGTCTGTCGTAGAATGCCAGAGATCGACGTGGCCGTCGGCGTCACTGACGAGGAGGAACTTCGGTCGCTTTGGTGAGGTTGATGATGAAGTTGATGAGCCGTTCGATGTTGCTGCGTGGCTTGCGGCGGTTGCTGCGGTTGCTGTTGCTGCTGCTGCCGATGCTGATGATTGTGAGCGCGCATCGCGCGGAAGTAATGTTGATAAATACCTGATATGACTGCCTTTTCATCAGCAGAGATCAGCTCGGTTCCGGCGGAGGTCGACGTAACCGAACTGGACTGCTGTTGCTGCTGCGGTTGCTGTTGACCGTGATGTGAATGAGCGTGAGGTCGATGATGATGATGATGAGTTTGTTGTTGCTGCTGCTGCTGCGACGAAGATGGATGAGGTGGTTGCTGCTGTTGCGGATGATGACGCCTCTGTTGTTGTTGTTGTTGTTGCTGCTGCTGCTGCTGCTGCTGCTGCTGTTGTTGTTGTTGGGAAAGAGTGGCAGCAGCATTGAGAGCCGCGCGATAGGAAGCCGCCATAGCCGCGGCGGACATCTGACCGGTTGCGGAAACGAGATTCGATCCGGAATCGGTATTTCCGACGACGGCTGCGGTTGCCGATAAGACAGGGGCCGCTGCTGCGGCGACAGCGGCGGCGGCGGCGGCAACGGCAGCGGAACTCGAAGATGACACGGTCGAGGTAGAAACGGCGGCAACCGTGGAGGACGGTGCGACGACGGACGCAGTGGAGGAAACAGCGGCGGAGACTGAGGCCGGGGCGACGGTGGCAGTCGCTACATTGGTCGACGCGTTTCGCCTGCTGCTTCGCCTGGAGGATGACATCGGCGCGTTTGCCGGCGGTGGTAGATTATTGACGAAAGGACTTCTTCTCTCGCGTTCGGCGCGTCGATAGTAGCACGGATGTATCATGAGAAGGGGTTCACCGCCGCCAGGCGGTGGTTTTGCCTGGCTCGGTAGCTCGTACTCGACGCTACAATCGACATGGAGAGGCTGCGAATAATCCTTGTAGTCCTTGTAGGTAGTGACTGCGACCGCGGCGGCTGCCGCCGCGGCCGTCGCGGCCGCAACAGCTGCGGCGGTGGCGGTGGCGGTTGCATTCGAATTTCCGGTGGTACTGGAGCCGACGGTAGTAGTAGCGGCGGCGGCAGCAGCAGCAGCGGCGGCAGCGGTGGTGGTGTCGAGGATGCCGGTCGATGCGGCCGGTAGGACGGTTTGCTGTCCGGTCGGGCCCGTCACGGGAGTCGTGGCAGCCGCGACGCCGCCGCCGCCGCTGCCGGTAGACCCGCCGGCGATCCCATGATGGTGATGGTGATGGTGATGATGATGGTGGTGGTGATGGTGATGACCGTGTCCATGCATAGCGGCACCTACCACCACTTCCTTCTCATAGCAGGCAGCGGCCATGTTGGAAACCTCCTACTATCCAGGCTTCCGCCGCCGAACCGTCCCTTCTTGCACGCCCGCTGACCAACGACCCACCTCGAACGCTAGGCTCTCATTTCGTGGGATCCTCGTGATTATTCTCCCCGATGACGACCAAGATCCTCTGCTCTCCGTCTCGCCCAGCGTTAAGATTGCCCGATCTTTTGCCACACAGCCGGAGACGCGAATTCGCGATCCTCCGGCACTTTCTGTTTTTTTTTCTCTCTCTCTCTTCTTTCCCTTCTCGACTTCTTCTTCTTCCTCCTCTTTTTCTTTCTTTTATACTTTTTTCCTCGATTCGTTCTCAACCTCTTTCCGAATCGTATTCACGGGTGCGAACGCCTTAACGATTATAGTATTTCTCGCTGTCACGGGCATACCTTGAAACGAAGCGAGAAAAATCGGTACGATTCATGGCAGCAAGAGAGGGTTACCTTATCCAAGGGTTGGACCAATCAGCTATTATATCCAACACCGAGGAAAGCCCTCGAGGCGGAAGCCTCCAATGTACACGAGCAAAGGAGTGTTATCGCATATTTCGAGAGAGGGAAGGGGGAAGAAGTTGTAGGTAAAGAGCTTACAACCAACTATGAATTCGAACACCACCGGCCCTGATTCGCTCGAGACCGGCTTCCTTGCAACATCGATCTCTCCCTTTTCCGATTTTTTCTGTTTATATACCCCGTTTCACTAAGATCTCTCGCTCATACCTCCAAATTATTCCTTCAAAGTGCGACTCCTTAGTTTTCCTTCCCTTTCCTTCGAATCTTCTCTCGTGTGAGACCAATCACCTTCACTTTGCCACGAACCCTTCGCACGTACTGTTCCGGCTGCTACATCCACGCATCGTTATGTTTGCATTTAAACACTAGAATGCCGTACTCCCATTTTAACGAACTTCCTTCTCGGCCAGACGTTTTCATTGATAGAACTTTCAACTATGTTCGTGGAAACGGAGAGCCGACTCGTGTATCAGTGCGAGCAATGCGATTTGGATGTGACACGCTGGTTGGGCGTAACGTCGTTCCGTCTCGTTCGTTGATTTCAAGCCTGAAACACCCTAATGCGTCGACGTCGTTCCGCAATTCTATCATCGGCTTACATGTGATGATCTTCTACAGGAATTTGTCCTTATTACACACGGCACACACAGCGGCACAAGGGAATACTCGATGACGGAAAACACACTCAGGCCTCTTCGAAGGGGTACGCCATTGCTGCGCGTGTGTCAACCCGTCCGGCGTATCGGTTACTCGTACACACGCGAGACTGCGCCTATGAACACTAATACATGCACTGTACGCGTATACATGTAACGTGCATATATACATAAACTACACACCGTACTATGCCTAACTCGATCATCTCGTGCAGACTGCCGAGTTGCGACTGAAAGCCAAGTCCTGTCGAACCCTCGTGTCGGCTCACCACATTTTGCAACGCCCTCTTCCCCTCACTATTCTCATCTTGCTCGGCCGCCGCGATTTCCTTCTCTACAGCGTGGTCGATTCCGTAGATTAATGGCTAGTATCTATGAAATGCACGATGCACGATGCACGATGCACGATGCACGATGCAACCGCCGGGATGGCCAACCTTATGTGCTCGTGCTGCCTTTCGTGCGAAAATCTTTGATTGGTTCCTGCATCGGAAAATTTACTTTACGCTTTTTACTGTCTTAGATTCCAATGTCTAGCAATGATCGTTCAAATAAATGATAAATACTTTCCACTAGATGAAATTATAATTTATCGTAACAGGTGAATAGATTCGTCGATGAATAGAAACGTAGTAGGTGAAATTATAATTTAAATTGTACAGATTTTTGTTTTTTAACAATCCGCAGTACCGACTGTTACACAATGCTCCATCCTTGTTGTATTGATAAGTTGATGACCTATAATATCTACGTGAAACATAGACGTCGCCACTGTATTGAACATTGTAAAACACTGTAATAGCCTGGAAATTCTGATATGAACGCATCTTTTATAAATGCGTTCTTTTAAAAATCGTTTATAAATCTATATATTACATTCAATTTTACGTTAATTATTCGATTTTCTTGTTCATAAAAACCCTATATCTTATACTTTTTTTCCTTTTGTATTTATACCATTTTTTTTTTTTATAAATACATTGCGTGGTTGGAATTCCATTTGCATTCCTCACATATGCCTACTTGTTCAACGAATACGAATACTTTACAGATAATTCAATGAAATTTTTAATATTCATCGCAAGTAAAAACTTTCGTCAAATGACGTACTGAATTCGAAAAATGATGTCACAAGCAGCATAAACCATTACGAAAATTTTTACATGGAATATTTTTAAGAAACTCCAAACGTGATAGGATATCACTACGGTAGGTGGAATCAATTAGAAAAAAGAAGTGATATGATAATACCGTGTGGAATGACGTAAGTGATGTGTAATTATTCCATGTAGTAGTGGAAGAGTACACGACGACGAGCAAACGACCGAGCCTGGCGACCAATAACGGATCTCCACATGGAACGTTCGCGGTTTCAACCAGTCACGACGAAGGCTGATGCAAGTCCGGTTCTAGGATATTCTACGGCTGGTCAGATGTTGCACCCTGTCAGTACGATTACATCAGCTAGGAAGCGCATACGGAATTTTCGTTCCGTCGGTCAGTGTTATGTATCGGATCAGTCGTTGTTCGGCAGCCGGTGGTTCGAGAAGTTGGACACGCGACAGATAGGAGCGGTGCTGTTTTAGAGCAAGTGACAATAGTAAATTCATCTTATATTTTATGGCTGATTATGAGCGTATTGAAAAGTGTTATCATCACGTTGCCTAAAGGCCTGTCGTCAAAGACGCCTGGCGTTATATCGGCGACCGAGTTGTCGAAATCCGTGCCGAAATTGAATTTCTGCGCCTCTGTACTAACCGACAAAGCGAGAATGGATCCGAAAAAACTTACCAAGTATGAGGAAATGCAAGACGACGGTACATCGTTCAAAACAGATGTATGCGTCCGTGGAAAGAAACGGCGATTGGACCACTTGACGTGGGAGGAAAAATTACAGAGGAAGTACGTTGATAAGAAATGAAAATGATAAACACGCGAGAGAAATATGATAAGCCAATTTTTGTGTTATATTCGATGGATAAAAAGAAAGTGTTTTAGTCTAAAGTCTGATCTAATAATTTCAAGGATACGAGCTTTTTCAAAATAAACAACAGATACTGAGGTCTAGGATGTTTTGTACTACGTGAATCATACTAACGTCAGCTATATTATATTAACCCAGGATTACCCACTCTAGTGCCGGATTAATTCAATTTTATTGATATTAATCTTCGTAGCTAATATTTCATTAATACTTTCCAAGTTTGAGAAAATATTTAAATGTAAAAGTTGATAGAGCATATTGATTTTGAGACACACATTCAATTCAAAAAAGGCGGGAAATTTGACTTGTCATATTTTCCATTTGTGGTTTTCAAATATTCGTACCATGTAACAACAAATACATTCAAGATTAGTATTTGATTAATTCGAAATGTTATTTTGTAGGAAATTAAAAAATAGGGTAGCAGCTCAAACTTCTCGGGACCGTAAAAAGGCGAAACTCGACGAATTGGAAGAAACTGTTCGAACATTGAGAGAACAAAATGAATTGTTGACACAGGAATGCTCGATATTAAGATCGCAGAATGAAATACTGGTCACAGAAAACAAAAGGTTAAGGAAGGAAAGAGAGAGCAAGAACGTGGGAGAATTTGCCTGTTCCATGTGCCAGAGTCGTGTCGGCTGTGCTGTGTCCTCACTGGGATCTACAGTGTCCCCCACTCACCCTCTGCAGCAGGGTGGAACAACACAGCTGGCACCGTCCCTGACACTAACCCCAGGAGCAACAATTCTCCTGAAGATACTGACCATCTACCTCCTCTTGAAGAATTGTTTGGTGACCTCCAAGGTGACGATTACATCGAACGACTTGAAGAACTTGCAGAGAGCCTGCTACGGGAGGTTACAGCAGAAGTGGAAGCAAATTCTCATAGAACAAATGAACAAGTGAGTATTTTGATTATTACCAATTTGTTGGGAAATTATATCACGAAATATTTTAATTTCATTACCTTATATTATAGGAATGAATGAATTGTTTGAAAGATCAAAAGAACTTTGATATTGTATTGTGTAATTCATTTGAAATCATCGAAATTTGGCTGCAGTTCTGAAAAGCAGATCGATATAAAATTTTAGTTTCGAGTATTTATTATAAACTATACATAGAATTCAATCTATTGTATTCAAAGTTTATTTTATTAATAACTCTAATGAGGAAATTAAATACCAGAAATTGAAATTTTATATTTTATATTGGTGTCCTTCCTCTTCTCAGTATTTCATGTCGATCAGAAACTGGTGGTTTTCGGAAATAATATCCGTCATTGTAAAATATTATTAAACACATCATTCGTTTCTAAATTTATGTTTTACATTTACAACTCAGTCTTCCTTTCGTTAATGATATAACGATTGTGTCTTGTGTAGGTGTCAGCCAAGGAAAATACCACTGAGAAATGTCACTATCCAAAAAGAGTGGTGGGGCAGACACCAAAAGATGTGGAAACCAATGGAACCTGTAGAAGCATGAGTATACATCAACCGTGGCATCCTGTTTCAAGCACAGTCAGTACGTCTTATACCACAAGCACAAACGCACCTGTGTCAATAAAATCGGAGGTCGAAGTAAAACAAGAAGTCGAAACGCACGACTTAGACACTATTTATGGTACCTACGACGAGGCAACCAATTCTGTAATGATCATTTACCCCGGAGACGAAACCAACGTGAGCATTCAAGAATGCGTTCAAGAAGTAGTTACGGACGGTATTTGTTCAAATGAAGATTCAACTTACTTAACGCCGAATTATTATACCAATCAGTTGTCACCATGTTATACAAACACGGATTCTATGTCACCATCGAGCATACATTCTGAAGATGTGGATAACAATTACACACACACGAAATTAGACTCTAACGCATCCGATTATGGATACGAATCGCACGGTTCCCCAAACTCAGACATACGACTTGAAAAGGGTAACATGGGTTTGTCGGATCTTTGGCACGAAAGTTTTTCTGAATTATTTCCAACGTTGGCATGACAATTTTTCTAAAAAAAAAGAAAAAAAAGTCTAAAAGACAGTATCTGTGATATACTTATTTCGGCAGGAAAGCCTTTGTATGATTAGAATATTATTTATTCTTTTCTGCCTTTAATATGTCAGTATAAACTGTGACACTTGACAACACATTCGTATTTTTATACTTATACTCTTGACGTTAAGTTTCCTTTAATACACATTCTTTTATTTATCTCGATGTAGACTTTGCAAGCACAATATTAAATGTTACTGTATATAATATCTCTTAAATATTTATTGGTAAAACGACAGGAATACTGCTGTGCAACAGTATGTTAAATAAAAAATAATCCATAAAAAAAACTTGTCTATTTTTACATTCTATCCTGGTTTTTATAAAGAAAGTAGGAAGCAGGAAGAAATACTATAACAATTAATCTTTACCTCATATTTTTACTGCTTTTACATTATGCATTTGATGAAGTACTTTGCGTTTGATTAATTGATGTCATTATTTATCTATATTTGTATTTTCTGCGAATGACCAGATATTCGGCAAGTATTAATCTCTATAAAAACAAACGGATTGGAAAATCTAATTTTCAGCATTACAAATACGTATCAAATCTGTCAGAAAAATCGCGAATATTTGGTTTAATGTTTGAATTTCGTATAAATACCTTTTTTTAATTGGCAGTTTCTTTTCTCTCTACTAAATCTCTCAACGATTACATTATTAGTAAAAATAAGCTACTAATTAGCACCCTTTAATAATCCTTACAGACTGTATGATCAAAGTGAATTACATAATATAAAATATTCGTGAAAATATTAGCGACGTACCCTTATTAAGGGCAATGAAAGATTATCCTATTACCTTACTCTTATTATAAGAATGCACAAGAATACGTGATATAATTGAATTGTTGCACCATTTGCGTACCGAGGTTCGTTCAAAATCTTCAAAGGCTGCCTCGAATCACGACGCGAAGAAGCTTGAATCGTGAAATTTTTCCGTATGTTGACTAAAGCGATTACATATTCCATGCGGTATAGACGTGTGTGTAGAGCCTATAAAAATTGCAAGTAATGCCAAGCGGAATAGCGCCTGTTCGTCTTTATATTACAAATACGAATACTTCGCGGTAGATTTTTAACCGAATAGCTTGTCGAAACAACCATGGCAATACGGCTTGTCATTTTGTTCTTTGAACGTGCCTTTGTTCAATTGTTTTAAACAGAATGCGCATACGAAATGTTCGGGATGGAACTTCCGGAACATGGCGGTTATGCAACGACCTGAAAGAAGAACGTTTGTTTAAAAAAAAAAGTGTTAGTGGCTGATGACGTAAGAGATTATTAAAGCGCAGAAACCTGTAATCGGTTTATGACATCCTGCGCAGAGGGATCCTCTCTTAGCGTGATAATGGGTCTCGCAGTAGGGTAAACCTTCGTGATCAAAGAACGAGCCGCCTTGGAACTTTTGTCTACAATCCTGCGAATAACAAAAGAAAAAGTGCGTGTACATCGACTAGAAATATTTCTCACTGGAGGAGAAGAATTTACGACAGCATTGAATAAAATTACGTATAGAGTATAAAAAAAAAAAAGGGATGACTATATATGTGGCAATGCCGTTTCTCCAGTTCCCTATTCATTTATGAATGAATCTAAAACTACTACCCTACAACTCGTGGAGGGACAACTCAACGAGACAAGTATAAATTAGATGCATCCGAGCGTGCGTACACGCGCATGTACATGTGTATGGAATAACGTAGAGAGTTAATATATGAATAGCTCGTGAGATCTGCAGATCGTAACTTACGGCAAATCTATCCGTTGACAAACATCATTAGAGCAATATAGGATGCCGGTGTCCGCGCACACCTGCCTCCAACGAAGGCACGTGGCAATCGACGGCGGCATCACGAGCTAGCTCTTTGTGTTGTGTGTGTTTTTTGTTTTTTTTTTCCCTAGTTTATTTTTTTATTTCGCATACAATACTAGCAATTAACATCAGCGTAACGATTGATCGATTGTTAATAATGCTCATCTATCTAGAAAAAACGTAATTTGACAGCAAAAAAGAAATTCAATTCGATGCTCGGACAGCATTCCCATAGAACGCCATTGTAACCCTCCCTAACAACTGTAGCCCTAACTGTTTGTCACGTGTGCTATACATTGATCCATATACGTGTACGTGGTATGTATGTTCGTGTATGCAAATGAACAATGATTTCGAGAGACAACGAGATAACGACGTGGATGACATCGAGTCGGTGCATTCATTCTTTTTGGACCACCTAAATCACCTGTTGAAAGAAAATTTGGAGGAGTGGGGGCGGCGGGGTGGGGGGGAGATGTCAGGTTCGTACATTGTAGCAGCCTGACAGCATAAAGAGGGGAACAATAGGGCTTTTTACATAAGAAATCGAAGCAACACACGACGGCCTGTGGCCATCGGCCTTTATGCTTCTTCTTCTTCCTCTTCGTCATCGTCGACGCCGACGCATTTCGGGCAAACGGGTTTACCCTCCATTGCATAAAACGACTTTCCAGATACCGGCTTCTTGCAATCCTGCAAGTTTTACATTTTACAAGCTATCGAAATGCTGCGAGACCGCATTGATCCTGGAAACGTAGCTGCAAATGGGTACAACGAATCTGTTGACGTATAAACGCCGATAAGATGACCTACCCTGCAGACGAAACAGTCCGGATGCCATTGGCTGTTTAAGGCGGAGATGTAATTCTCCATGATAGCACGATTACATCCGCCGCATTTCGGGGCGAACATGTCGAAGTAATCCTCCCGGCAGTACGGCTTTCCGTCTCGCTCGTGGAAGCCCTCCTCTCCAAACTGTTTGCCACACTGGGCGCAAAAGAAGTGCTCCGTGTGCCAAGTTTTTTCCAACGCGGTTACGCATTTCTGAAAATAACGAGGAACGTGCTGTAATACTCGACGCGGCGTGTGTGGGTGTTCATTGGACGCTGCTTTACGTCTAGAATGGGGCCGTTGCAGTAGGCGCAACGCGGTGAGAAAAGATTGTGATAGTCCGGCTCGCAATACGGATGGCCCTCCCTCTCGAAGAAATTTCTCGTGCCCAGTTCCTGGTTGCAGTGCGTGCATGTGAAATGTTCAGGATGCCACGTTTTTCCCAGAGCGGTGATCACCTGCAACGAGAAATCACATTTGTTATTTGAGAATCTTCTTCTTTTTTTTTCTTTTTTTATAAAAAAAACATCTAGGAAGATCCAGATGACGATCCATCTGTCGAATTTACTTGTCCCACGATCGGTTTCTCGCAAGCGCTGCAGCATCCTTTCTGAGTAGTGTTCACTCCTTGGCGACTCATGTCGGCTTGAAGGTTCCCTAGCATAGAATCCAATTGATTCTGTTTGGTCTGAGTCGCTGGCTGCGGCGGATAAGGCTCTCCGTGCTGCTGCTGATAATGATGAGTGGTTTGGGTCTCGGTGATGTGAATCCGAGTCTGCGTGCCCTCGGGTGGCAACGGGCTCTGCGAACTCTTGGTCGCCTTGTTCGGTTTGGCGTACGGTGAATCGGTCACTGTCTGATGTTGGTGGGAACTACTGTTAATCTGTAAACCGTACGATACGTATAATAATAAAAAAGAAAGGAAACGAACACACAAAAAA